GCCAAATGACAGGAGCCAAATGACAGGAGCCAAATGTTACTGGATCCTTACTTATTAATGATTGCTTTTTATTGGTTTAGCTGAAAAGTGAATAGAACGGCTGCTTGTCCACAAAGTGAAGCAAGTTAATGAGCAAGAGATACCAAAACATAGTACTCAACCTAATATCAGTATCAAAAGGCAATGAAATTGTTTTCAGAGAAATTTCTCAGTCCCAAATTCACAAATGATCAAAAAACTGTTGGGGTTGTTTGAGTGGGGTTTGAAAAATTGAGGGATTTACTGGGGGAAAGGGAGGGGAAATGAGAAGAACAAGTCTATCAGAAAAGAAAGAGAGAGAGAAAGAAAAAGAGAGAAAGAAAGAGAGAAAGAAAGAAAGAAAGAAAACGAAAGAAAGAAAGAAAAAGAAAGAAGGAAAACGAAAAAGAAAAGCTTTTCACCTCCAATCGAGGTGCAATGCAAATTTTATTAGTGTCGACGACTTTACGAAAGAAAAAAGTGATAAAATGAGAAGAAAACCCGGGAAAAGAGTTGATAGGAATTTGGATTCATTTCTTTTGATTGATTCGATTTGAATCTTATTGCTGATGCATTCTTCCTTACTATTAGTGCACCAATCTTGATCAAGATTACTTATCTCACTTGTTCCATGGTTCGTAGTGAATCAAAAGTGCAAACATACTCACTCTGGGGCATTTAATTCTTCATTTTTTGGGGTTACTGTGAGAAGAATCAAGATTTGATGCACTGAACAGACATGTTTTTAGTCTTTGAGACAGTAATACTGGAGCTTTTCAAGCAAATTATTGGGGGCTGGTCAAAACAGCGCCATAATATAAAACGTTCCAAATAGCGCCGTCAAATCTCTCACAATCCAAAAAACCAAGCCGGTTCAAGTTTTATTTCAAAAAATTCCTTGCGTTCTTGGCTACATGATGGGTGAAACACCATCAATAACGATGTGATAATCGGAGCTAAGTGATTTCGCAAACTCAACAGAGGAGACGAATGATGGCACAATTATTGTTGGTGGAGAAAGAGGATGAGACGGACGGTTGAGGGAGCGTAAGTTGGATCGATGAGATGGTTCATCCCGTTTGTTTGGTCCCACTTCGATCCATTTGTTCCCGCCATGACGACCATTTGGGGCTGCTGGCGCGGGATGAGACATCGCATTGCGGTTAATCATCTTGCGGTGACACACCTCAAACTTGGGTAATTAAACCAACTGAGTATCACTCGACACACATTTTGAATGCTCTTTTTATCTATGAAATATTAACTTTTTTTAAAAACTGTTTCACCCATCATGTAGCCAAGAACGCAAGGAATTTTTTGATATAAAACTTGAACCAAGAACGCAAGGAACTATTTGATATAAGCTTGGTTTTTTAGATTGTGAGAAATTTGACGGCGCTGTTTTGAACGTTTTCTATTATGGCGCTGTTTTGACTACCCCCTAAATTATTGGCTAGGAAAGGCAAAGCTTGATAAATGGATTAAAATGAGTCAATAATGTTCTAGAGTTTAAGATTGAAACAAAGCAATTGCAAAGCAACAAAATAGTAAGCTCAAAGCTTAAAATAGTAAGCTCAAAGCTTAAAATAGTAAAGCATGAAAGCATTTCTCAATATTGACTTACCCTTTTCTCACATTTTCTTTCTTTATGCTAAAAATATTTGCGATTCGATGAAAAAAAATGATTTCTATTTTTAAAAAAAAGAAAGACAAAAGAAAAACAAAAGAAAAACAAAAGAAAAACAAAAGATCGTCTGCCAATGAATATTTTGACTTCTCAGCAACAGTCTGCCAATGTTTTTCCCAATTTTAAAAGTGCAATGATTGGAAAATCGTCAAAAGTTCAAAGGCAATGATTGAAAAATTTTCAAAACCAGTTTGCTCAATGGATAACTAACTTAATAGCTTTTTAAATGATTTCTTTTTGAATAGGTAACATTTTTTTCTATATAACATTTTTTAAAATTGACATAAGTAACATTTTTTCTCACAATCAGTTTAGATTGTCGACTAGAAACGACTAGATCGACTAGAGACGATTGAAGTTTAGCGCTAGATTCAGAAGTAATTAGAAAAGTTTGTATTTTGTAATTAGAAAAGTCATTGCTGAAGATACAGGAAAGATTTTCGTTAAAAATTAATTTGTTGAACTCAACAGAAACTCCAAATTGTGGGATAAGTGCACAGAAAGTTGTTTGTTTTGTTTGTTTTGTTTGTTTGTTTGTTGTTTGTTTTGTTTGTTTCAACTGATTCGTAAACAACTGACTTCAAGTCATAACCCTATATTGACTTTAATGTTATGGAAATATGATCGACAAATGCCAAAATACATTAGAAGTATTGAAAAAGTTAAAACGTTAAAGTTAAAACGTTTTAAGAAACACAAATCAATTTGAAAACTGGAAAACAACAAATCGATTCGAATTGGCGCCGATTTCCCCTGTTTATGGAGACTGTTTGTGAGAGTTTTGTGGTTGGGGTGAGATAGGGCAAAAGGCAGACAAATATAGGGAATGAAAAGAGGAGACAAACATATTTGTGCACACATTCCAGCCCGAAAAAGACCTTTCCTCTTCCCTCGAATCAAACGACCTTCCGCTCACCACTTTCGGCAAAACCACACCCCACTCACAGCCAGACAATAAATATCGTAAATGGGCGATGGTCCTGAAATGAATTGAAAGTGGAATTAGATGTGAAGTTGGTATTTAATAATGTATGAAACAAAGTGAGCCCAATACACAGAAGGAGCCGCTTGTGGCTCAGAAATTGTAGATGATTATTGTAAAATTGTAGAGATGGCCCAAGTTCAAGGCTTTCGAATTAAGCCAGAACAACTAGAACAACTAGAACAGGCAAATCAAATCAAATCAAACCAGAAGCCAGAACAAACAAAAAAATAAACGTAGAAACGTAGAAAAGAAAAAGAAAAGAATTTGAAGTTAAATCTAACTTTAAACTTTTGTAATGAAAGTCTAAAGCTAAAGTTAATTTAGGAAAGCACGCAGGTAGCAGCACAGACTTTTCGAGCACCAAGAATCGACGTGCAATCGATGGAAACGGCATCGGGTGGCGGATGGAGAACGGCCGGACGAGCCGGACCCGCCAGTGCAATCATCACCACAATGCCTAATTTTGCAAATCAGTGAGAACAATGAGACGTCCTCTGAGTGAGAACAATGAGACGACAATTCTCGAATTCAAGAACTAAATAGGTAACTTGATGATGTAGCAATGAGAGGATGGTTAAAAAACGCAAAAATGTGAAGCCAAAAAAAGAGATGATGAAAAGCGAAAGTTGATTTGAAAACTTTAAAACTGATTTGAAACTACAAAAACTTTCAAACAGATAATTTACGCTTTTCAGACTCTAGATCTTGTTATTTCTATTTTGGCCCAAAGTTTCTCACCAATTGGTAATAAAGTTTGGAAAGAAATACCAGAAGAGAAGATCCTAAAGCTATTCAAAACATTAAAACAAAAAGTTTATCCAAGGAAGAGTCGAACTTGAGTGCTATAAAATTAAATGAAAGAACTAAAGTTAACTAAGGGAAGGGAGTTCAATTCAAATTTGCGGCACATTCGAATTAACTGCGCGTAAAAACATGTACCATACAGGTAGTAAAACATTTTGATGGGGATATGGTGAGAGGAGTAGGCGGTCGATTCATTCCTTTGGCGACACGAGTCGATGGACATGCATCATTAAGTTGTGACGTGGATCAAAAAATGTCTAGCTTTGCTTGAGCAATTGTTTCTTAAAAACGAAGTATCGGATCAGATGAAGTTTTGACTCATAAGGATAAGGACAAATATTTAATTGTTATTGACAAAAAATTCCGGAGAGACTGATGTTTTGGTTGGTTAGGAAATTGAAAAGCAATGAAGTTGAGAGTCCTACTCAAATTTGTCGCTTTGGAAGTGTCTTACAATCGTGTTGGTTTAACAGAATGCAGAAAACTATCTAAAGTTGAAATCATTTTAAATTCGAATAGCAAACCATCATTTGAAACTATTTGGTTGGTGAATTGAAGACTGCGGGCCATTGTCATATGTGACAGTTTGAGCACTTTCTTCAAAAGAAACCCATTTTGGTGTCAATGGAAAAGTTGAAGAGAATCAAAAATCAAGCTTATATCCAAATTTTCAGAACGATTCAAAAGCTGGGTTTCAAGAAATGTCAAATTTACGAATTTTCACAAAGCTTGCAACAAATCTTGCATTTTAAGCGAAACTACTAAGTGTATCTTTTTGGAAATTTGGGTATAAGCCTAATTTTTGATTCTCTACAACTTTTCTATTGACACCAAAATGGGTTTCTTTTGAAGGTCGTGCTCAAACTGGGATCTCCAGTCTCCATCTCCAGTCCTCCATTTTTGAGTCTCACACTTGTCTCACACACAAACCAAAATCCTACTACGAAAGAGGAATCCGCAAATTGCCTGTAAAATGGGCAGAAGTCGTCAATAATAATGGAAATTATTTGGAATGAATTCATGGTTTTATGTTGAATAAATTTTAGTTCAAAGTCCCGCAGTTTTCAATTCACCAACCCAATAGAAAACTGAACGAGCAATATGTGGATTGACTTTTCCCTGTACTGGAAATCTTAACGAAATCTGGAAAGCTTGCACAGACTAATTGTCAGTGAAAATCTAGGTTATCAATATAATCTCTAAACAAAGTTCTGCGCTTTTAAAGTTTGACGATTCATTTCAATGGTTTTCTTTAACTTTGAATTGTGAATAGTTAACTCCTTTTTGTAAATAAAATAAAATAAAATATTTATGCCAAAATTTCGAATCAAGAAAATTGAAAAAAAATACATATTGAATACATAGAATAAATAAATTATTAGTTATGAGAACATTAGGAAATCGGAAGGGAGACAAGTAAGAAATGTGGGGAGAAATGAGGGGGAATTCGAAAACCCTAACTTCATAAGCTAACATTTTGATGGAAGCGCAGTCATTTTGTCACTACCCGGTCACTTGATCATAATAGTCGACATTTCCATCTTTCGATTCCTCGGTTTTCACCTAGAAATTTGTTTTGACTTGCTTACAAAAACTCGAATTCTTGAGCTTTTCCTTGTTCGACCTTTTTAATGTAAACGTAAAGCATCTGGCACCACTAAAGCTCTTGTTTTCTGATGGAATTGGTGTGCCAGATGATCAAAGTTTACGTCGAAAAGAGGATCAAGTGATCCCAGAAGGCAATCTTCAGTGAAAATCGGTCAAAGGCGTCCGACTCTAGATCTGATCGACTCTAGATCTGATCGACTCTAGATCTGATCGACTCTAGATCTGATCGACTCTAGATCTGATCGACTCTAGATCTGATCGACTCTAGATCTGATCGACTCTAGATCTGATCGACTCTAGATCTGATCGACTCTAGATCTGATCGACTCTAGATCTGATCGACTCTAGATCTGATCGACTCTAGAGCTGATCGACTCTAGAGCTGATCGACTCTAGATCTATATACTGCCGTTCGAGAGTTCGAATCCCTCCCGTGGAATGTTTTTTTGACTCTTTGGATAAACATTTTGGATTTAGAAATCATCCAACATTAGATTTCAATTTTTAAACTTACATAAGATTACAATATGGCAATTTTGAGTCCTATACTAATTGGGGACGCGAATGGGCGCAAATGAGCGCAAATGGGCGCAAAAGGGGCGCAAATGGCAGGAAGTTTGCATTTAATGCGCAAGTTTATTATGTTCGAGATTTTCAAACACGCTGAATCGAATAAAGAAACATGATAAACAACTACTCCCACCACTCAACATCTCCATTTATTCTTGATTCCAGCTGGCCTACAAGTACAATGATATGATTAGAATGATTAGAATGATAGATTAGAATGATTTTTCTTGATTCTTTCTGGATTCTTGAATGAAACGAGTTCTTTCTTGATTTCGTTGCCGTTAGCATATACTTTTAGCTTCATTTCATTGTTGCAGTTGGGACAATTGCGTTGATCTCCCCAGAAAAGTCCTCGTTCAGCTAGTCAAGCGTCAAAATCATCATCAGTATTTATTGCTAAGTTAGGCCACTCCGTCAAAAGATTGAACGCACGCAAATCTTGCTTAGCTGCAGCAGCATTACCCGCTACCTGAAAAATCCGAATTTCAAGTTAAATTTTTATAAGAAGTTTTCACAAAAAAGTTACATAGAGTCCAAAAGGCCTAAACATAATTGGACACGTCTGTGAAAATTTGATTTGGCTGTATTTCTTGAATAAATGCTTCTTTTCACTCTAAACTTTTAAAAACACAGAAATTAGATTTGAATTTTTGCATTAACGCGTTGAGATTGGTAGCTTTTTATGATGATAAAGAAATACGGCCAAATCAAATTTTGACAGGCGCGTCCAATTATGTTTTGTCGTTTTGGACTCTATGTAACTTGTTTGTGAAAAGCTTTTATAAATCTAACTTCAAATTCGGATTCTTCAGGTAGTTTTACGTAATGGGCAACCTAATGGGCAACTTTTGGGCCAAGACTCATTTTCTTAAGATGAATTTGATTGAATTTGATTGAATTTGATGATTCAGACCTCGAAATTTGGCCAATTTACATTGGAAATGGGGGTTAGTGCAAAACTTTTGTTCCGCTACTTTACTAATTATGGAGGGGAGGGGCAAATGAGCCTGGTCAAACGAAATTTGCATTTAACGGACAAGTTTTTGTATTTTCCAGGTTTTCAAACACCCTGAATCGAATCTAAACATTTCCAAATCCAAAGCAAAATGATTTTCTTATGATTTCAAAGTTTACTTATGATTCAAAGCTGATGATGTTTACCAGGACTCATTTTCTTAAGATGAATTTGATTGAATTTGATGATTCAAACCTCGAAATTTGGCCAATTTACAATCGAAATGGGGGTTAGTGCAAAACTTTTGTTCCGCTACTGTATAGCACCCAATTTTGTGCTATAAGATATCTTAGAAAATGAGTTCAGCATTACTAGACGGTAATCCTTTGCTACGGTAATCCCTTGCTATGGTAATCCTTTGCTATGGTAATCCTTTGCTACGGTAATCCCTTGCTATGGTAACCTTGCTATGGTAACCTTGCTACGGTAACCCTTGCTATGGTAATCCTTTGCTATGGTAATCCCTTGCTACGGTAATCCCTTGCTATGGTAATCCTTTGCTACGGTAATCCTTTGCTATGGTAATCCCTTGCTACGGTAATCCTTTGCTATGGTAATCCTTTGCTACGGTAACCTTTGCTATGGTAACCCTTGCTATGGAACCTTGCTACGGTAATCCCTTGCTACGGTAATCCCTTGCTATGGTAATCCTTTGCTATGGTAATCCTTTGCTATGGTAATCCTTTGCTACGGTAATCCCTTGCTACGTAATCCTTTGCTATGGTAATCCCTTGCTATGGTAATCCCTTGCTACGGTAATCCTTTGCTACGGTAATCCTTTGCTAACATTTAGCAAACCTATGACTTTACCCTCTATGAAATCGGATTTTAAATGAGAAATGGAAATAGGCTTCTAGAGGCTGGCTGAAAATTATGTGCGCCTCGTTTTCTTTTCATTGACAGCGCTCTGCGAACATTTTTCGAAGAAGTTTATGTTTAAAAAGTAGCTAAGGATTTGTAGTTTTTAAAAATCAAAACCGTTTTTCGAAATTTCTTCTAGTTTTTTAGTTATGCTCTTTCAAAAAAAGGCCACTGCTTAAATTTAGAGTTTATTTAGCTTTGAGGTTGAAAAATGCTATTGAAAGAAGTACGGAAAGTCATTTTGTGTTGTACAGTCTACAGTCTACAGTCTACAGACTGTAGACTCGTTTCTTACCTGACATTTCGTCCCATAACAATAATCAGCCGATATCCGCAATCGATCCTTTTCGAAAACCAAATCCACCGCGTGTTGTTCGAAATCGAAAATGATTGGAAAAGCCATTCCCTAAAATGCCATTCCCATTTTCGCTTTCTAACGAATTCTCTGCAACAAAAACCTTCATCTTTTCTCCCATTTCATCATTTAGCACCAATTCGATGAGCGCGTTCACCAAGAACTCCAACGAATTCGCATCGATTCCCTCAACCGTTGACGAGACCTGGAAAAATGTTTTAGTCGATGTAAGCTAGTCGAAGCTTTCAAAAGTCGATTTAATCCGGGATATCGATGCTGTTTTATTTTGTTTTATCTTCTATTAGCAAGCTTCTATTAGAAAGCTTATTTTTGCACTTACATCTGTCAATTTGAACTTGTCAATGCGCAATTTCGCCTTGAAAACATAATCCAGAAACTTCGGCTCATCGTATTTCACCTCAACAGCCATGTTCGCTGTCAGAAAGCGACGGGTTCGATCGGGTTGCTGAAAAAAAAAAAGTAAAATAAGTTCTAGATCTTTTAGAGCCAAACTGTAATTACATAATCACAGAAAAAATAGATAAAGATCATTGCTCTTGTGACGAATCTCAAGCTTGCTCAAAGCTTCAAAGTTTTAAAGCTTCAAAGCTTCAAAGCTTCAAAGCTCAAAGCTCAAAGCTCAAAGCTCAAAGCTCAAAGCTCAGCTTGTTCAACTCAACTGCAAGCTCAGCTTGTTCAACTCAACTGCAAGCTCAGCTTGTTCAACTCAACTGCAAGCTCAGCTTGTTCAACTCAACTTGTAATCTCAACTTGTTCTACAGCACAAAGCCTAGCATAGACAAATCCGGCTTTTCACACATAAATAGTCTTGAAGTCAATCATTTTAGCTCATTTAGCTCATTTAGCTCATTAGCTCATTTCTCTTTACCTGTACATATGCGTCGATCTTGTTGTCCACATAAATGATCGCTTTACCATCGTTTAAGACAAGACGTGGATAGGATGAGGTGTGCGATTTGATCACCACCGAACCGGCAGCGAATTTCTCTTTCAGTGCTGAAATGACAATGGTCAAAAGGGTTGATAATGATTTGACTGATGATTGATAATGATGAATGAGTGCGCTATGAAAGGTATGCTTATGCGGCAAGTTTATGCGGAAAGCAAGAAATCTACTGTACTCTCTTTATGCCACTTATGGGATTACTTAAATTCCAGGTTGGCTTAGCTTCCAGCTTCCAAGCCTCCAAGGTTTCAAAGCGTTTTTATATCAATCTATCGTTTTTATATTCCGTCGTTGACTGCCTGCATGGCCGACTGGCTAAGAGCTCTGTATCTTACAAGGTAAGGTCAACTGGCTGAACGAAATGCTATGCGACCTATACCATTCAACGCAGAGTTTGATGCTGATTCCGAATATGTATTCCGTTTTTTTTAAATGACAATCTACCAGGAGTTATAAGCGTCTAAAGTTTTGTTAGTACTCTGAAAATGTGGTTATTTGGGCCTTAGGGGCCTCCTTGCGGTCATTTGGGTCTTAACCATCTTCAGTGCGGTCGTGATCGAGTGGTACAGCTTTCGTTTCCAATGCGAGACCTCACAGGTTCGACCTAGTAAACACTTCTTGAAAAGAAGCAAGAAGAGAGATCCAAAGTAGGGGTCGAACCTGTGAGGTCTAGCTCTGGAAACGAGCGCTATACCACTCTAAGAAGGCCTGCAAGTAGGCCTGCGCTAAAGAAGGCCTGCAAGTAGGCCGCTAAGACCCATGGATTTGTTAGGACTCTGAGAATGGCCACATTCTTAGAGTCCGAACAAAACTAGACGCTTATAACTCCTGGTAGATTGTCATTTAGCAAAAACAGAATACGTATTCGGAATCAACATCAAATTCTGCATCGAATGGTATGGATCGCATAGCATTTTACCGGCTCAGCCAGTTGTCCTGCCCTTGTTAGTCAGGTCAAGGGTTCAATCCCTGCTAGATTCTTGGTTCTCCATAGCTATCCATATGAATAAATGTATTTCTTAATCAATTTCCCAAAAGAAACTATTCATCGTCATCTAGTTACCTGGGAAAATCGTGCCCGCACAAATATCATCCTTTCCACAATCCGTCCTCAAATACCCAGCCAGAGCCGAGTTATTTTGAGCTGTTTTTGAGATCTCATAGTCGAATTTTCTAAATGTGAAATGAATGGGGGAAACTTTGGATAGATTGCCAATGACAAAGGGGACGAGGCGCGTATGTCCCACCTTTTATACGCGCCCCGCCCCGCCCCAATAACCATAAACCAAGCCAGCCTTGGTTTATGGTTATTGGACTTTTTATTCACGCCCCGCCCCCTTTGCTATTGGCAATCTAACTTTGAACTCAAATAGCTTGATGTTGGGCTGTGTAATTTAAATAGCTTTTGTACCAATCGATAGAGAAAGACTTGGTGCATCTAATTATACCAAAAATGTTTAAATTGAACAATCCAGCACCAAGAAATTTAAGATCTTTAAGATCTTTTATACCTATATTGATCCATCCAAAATAGTAGACTTCCTAGTGTGTAGTTGCTAATTAAAAAGTCGACCATGCGACCGCTTTCCGCCTCGACCTCTAGGTTCCCAGCTCGGAATGGCAATCGGAAATCGTTTAGTCTTGTTCTTCCTAAATGAAGTGTCAATTTGCATGTTGTATTTTCAAAATATGCCTTTGATTTAATGATAAAATTGCAAAAATCCTTGTCAAAATGTCTCAAAATGTCTCAAAATGTGTCAGAATGTTTCAAAACGTCGCAAAATGTCTCAAAATGTGTCAAAATGTGTCAAAATGTCGCAAAATGTGTCAAAATGTGTCAAAATGTGTCAAAATGTGTCAAAATGTCTCAAAATGTGTCAAAAATGTCTCAAAATGTCTCAAAATGTGTCAAAATGTCTCAAAATGTCTCAAAATGTGCCAAAATGTCTCAAAATATCTCAAAATGTCTCAAAACGTCTCAAAACGTCTCAAAATGTCTCAAAATGTGCCAAAATGTCTCAAAATGTCTCAAAATGTCTCAAAACGTCTCAAAACGTCTCAAAATGTCTCAAAATGTCTCAAAATGTGTCAAAATGTCTCAAAATGTTTCAAAATGTGTTAAAATGTGTCAAAATGTGTCAAAATGTGTCAAAATGTGTCAAAATCCTTTGTCTCACCTTGTCTCAAAATGCCGAAAGTGTTTCCACGATGTTTCAACAAAATCTTATCGCTGTCGAATTGAACAGGTCCTAAAGAATGATTTTCTTATATAAATAACGATCTTTTGCATGTTCTAATTCATAATTAAATACCTAAAAGCCCATAGTTGATGAAAAATTGATCAAAAAGTGATGCAGAAAGCGGGGTGTTCATTAAACGATTCGAGACCACCGGTACCAATTCCGAATGGAAAGATGGGCAAATGATCTGGAAAAACAAAGACAATCATCTGCTTTTCTCTGCTTGTGATTCTGCTTGTGATTCTGCTTGTGGTTCTGCTTCTGATTCTGCTTCCCAAGTACATACCTGATCCAAATTAGCATTGAGATACTCTTGAACTTGAGGCCATTCCTCGCCGAGTTGCCCAATATCGCTAGCTGCCAGCTGGAGTGTCCCGGAACCGCCGCTTACCTAAAAGCTTACTGTAGTCTACTAGAAGCTTACTGTATTCTACTAAAAGCTTACTGTAGTCTACTAAAAGTTTACTAAAATCAATATCTAATAGCAGATTGTCCATAGTAAAATGCTACCTTACTACCTTATGTAGCAAAGAGATCCAAAAACTTGTATGCCAAATATCTCACGATAGAGAAGCTTCTAGAAGATCAAAGAAGACGGTCAATAGGGCCAATAAAGCGGTTGATAGATTGCTATGCCCAAAAAAAGTTGCAATTCTTTAGAGTTTCAAACCATTTGCTGGCAAAGCCGTAAAGCCGCGCATACTTTCGGTCAAAATTAACTACCGTAAAAGCTTTAATAGTAGCCCCCCTCTAACAGTGTCCTAGAGGGTCAGCAGTTTACTTTTTTTGCTTTTTACTTGCAAAGTCAAAGCCGTACACTTTCTTTCAAATGTTTCTTTGCATGTCATCATGTTTTTGCATTCGTTTTCAAAGTTAGAGTAGCGAGTAGCGTGCCGAGCGGCTCTCAACTTTGGAAGGTTATATAAAAAAGTTGAAAGATTGAATCGATTTGATAATGGGCACCGTTTTAGGAGATATACTTAAGATTTATGTCCAGAAAAAGCAGATCGATTGACCCAATTTTGGTCAATCTAGGCCCTCTGAAGTGCGGCGGTATAATTGTGAACCGCGCTCTTAGGATTTCTTGTAAAAAAAAGTAGTAAAATAGTAAAAAGTAGGCAATAAAATATAGTAAAAAGTAGGCAATAGTGAAACGTAGTAGTCGTAAAATAGTAAAATGTAGGTTAGAAAAAGGTGACTCACTTTACAAGTGACGAGATCCGTTTTCAAATGCCCATCAGCGTTGACGCCCGTCCACAAGAGAAAATCAATGTTTGCACTAGAATTTTGAATAGATTAAGATGGTAAGAAGATTTATTTGAGAAAAATTCGTTTGAAATTGATGTAAATTGCTGTAAATTGCTGTAAATTGCTGTAAATTGCTGTAAATTGCTGTAAAACACGAAAAAATGAGCCTACTTTTCAATCAACAACGGCGCTGTTCCAATTAACTCCCCGGCGTTCGTCTCAATGGTGAACATTGTTGACACAGAGATGTTAAGACTTTTACCCTGAATTTGTTTTATTTCTTGAAGAACTTTGATAAGCTTTGATTGTTAAAGCTTCATTTTAAGCTATACATTGCTAAAGCTTCCTTTTAAGCATCTCATTGTTAAAGCTTCCTTTTAAGCATCTCATCGCTAAAGCTTCCTTTTAAGCATCTCATTGTTAAAGCTTCCTTTTAAGCATTTTATTGCTAAAGCTTCCTTTTAAGCATCTCATTACTAAAGCTTCCTTTTAAGCATCTCATTGTTAAAGCTTCCTTTTAAGCTTTGATTGTTAAAGCTTCCTTTTAAGCATCTCATTGTTAAAGCTTCCTTTTAAGCATTTTATTGCTAAAGCTTCCTTTTAAGCATCTCATTGTTAAAGCCCTTAAGCATATTGCTAAAGCTTCCTTTAAGCACTCAACAAAGCCCTTTAAGCTTTGATGTTAAAGCTTCCTTTAAGCACTCATTGTTAAAGCTTCCTTTAAGCATTTTATTGCTAAAGCTCCTAGCACTCATTACTAAAGCTTCCTTTAAGCTTGATTGTTAAAGCTTCCTTTTAAGCATCTCATTGTTAAAGCTTCCTTTTAAGCATTTTATTGCTAAAGCTTCCTTTTAAGCATCTCATTACTAAAGCTTCCTTTTAAGCTTTGATTGTTAAAGCTTCCTTTTAAGCATCTCATTGCTAAAGCTTCATTTAAAGCTATTCAACTAACCGTCCATTGCAATCCTTTGCCCGGTTGTGATTCCAACTTTGACCGAAATTGTGTCTCATCAAATGAAAGCACTCGTTGTGATAATAGAGCCACTTTGATCTAGAAAAATATGATTTTTAAACAATGTTTCTTGTAAAGTTTGAGATTAGAAACACAAAATACAAACCTACTTCAGGACTAATTGATGAAGAAATGTTGAAATTGAGATCCCCGGCAGCCATGAAACGATTCACTCGATCTTTCAGATAATCGGATAACAAGTCGAGGCCCTGAATTCTTAGGTAAAGTCACTTTTTGTAATATAAAATGTAATATGCTATAATAAAGAAATAAAGAAATCTTAAAGAAATAAAGAAATCCAAAAGAAATTTCAAATACCTTTTGATTGACTCTTGAGTAAAAGCCGGCATTTGTTCCGGTTTCGGCGAAGAAGCTATCTGAAAAAGTAAAGTTTACACAAAAGTTTTTAAACTCAAATCAATTTTCGAGTCAATACTCGTCAAAATAATAGTAAAGTGGTGATTATGGGTTAAAATTTGAATTGAATTTCTATGAAAATAACTAATTTCGAGCTCAAATCTCGTAAAAAACGCGGGGTAGGCTAATTTTCGCATTTTTTTTGCGCAACAGGGTCATTTGCGCAACTGGGTCATTTGCGCAACTGGGTCATTTGCGCAACTGGGTCATTTGCGCAACTGGGTCGTTTGCGCAACAGGGTCATTTGCGCAACTGGGTCATTTGCGCAACAGGGTCATTTGCGCAACTGGGTCATTTGCGCAACAGGGTCATTTGCGCAACAGGGTCGTTTGCGCAACTCGCCATAACTTTCTTCTAAATGGGCGAATCTTTATGATTTTGGTGTCATTTTGTTGCACTTATTGAGATCTACAAAATGAAACCAAGATCATAAAGATCACCATATCATAAAAACCTGTCAAACTAAAAACGCATCTAAATTGCTTCAAATCTGCTGGATTGCGATGATGTTTAGCTCAATAGGTAGATGATCTCAAGAGCTTTCGAATGAACTAAAGCACAATCAAAAAATATGAATGCTAAAGAAAGTTACAGTGGTTTAGCCTGACTCGATCGCTTCGACGATGCGAGTACGGTCTTTTTCGATTACAAACCACTGTAACTTTCTTTAGAATTGATTTTTTGGATGTGTTTTAACCCATTCGAAAGCTCTTGAGATCATCTATCTTTTGAGCTATCGATCATCACAATCCAGCAGATTTGAAGCAATTTAGATGCGTTTGTAGTTTGACAGGTCGCTATTTTGTAGTTTATAGTGTCTACAGTAAGTTCATTGTCTATTAAATCCTTGTCTATTCAGTCATTTTCTATTAAATCATTAGAAACTTACTGGCAATACTTTGTGTTTCGATCGGTGCTATGAGAAAAGTGATTGTGAAGAGGAGGGGGAGTATCAATGACCATTTCATTGCACCCCCTCGCACCCTTTGAGTGCCACCGCTATGGGCGCCTATTCTCTGAAAATGTATGTTTAAAAAAAATGTACTTCTTTTGCTCTCGAGTAATGCGTTTTCTTAGAATGCATCTATTTGAGTAAACTACGTTATTTTCCATTCAATCCGTCCGATTTTAGTCTCATTCGATGAGGAATTAAAAGGCTTAATCAATGATTCGAAAATTGGGTTGATCGGGTGTAAACGAACGGCTTTACTGCAATAGTTTTCTCAAATAGATGCATTTTAGAAAACGTATTGCTCAAAAATAGTACATTCTACTTAAGAAATTGTAAGTTATGCAAAGAAAACAAGAGACAAAAAACATATAAAGCTTGAGATTAACTGAAAAGATTAATTTGGTAGCTTTTGTACTCAGAAATAGACAAAATAACATCATTTCTAGATTATAAACATGAAACTTTTCATAAACTAGCTTTACTGGCAATCAAATAAGGACAGATAAATATATTAGCTTTAAGAGAAGAGCTTATAGAGCTAGAAAAAAGGTAAGACTGGGAAATTTCATCTACTTCAACACTGAAGCTTTACTGAAGCTTTACTGAAGCACTTCAACACTAGCTTCAATGTTGAAGTAGATGAAATTTTCAGAGCT